GCATTATTGCCGCTGTGGTCTTCGATGAGGTTAGCCATCAAATCTGTCACAATTCTCGCGGCAGCAGAAGACTGGGACATCACCTCAGCCTTCCTTCAATCAATTGGCCGCCGAGGCCTCATCACATTCAGGCCGTTCAGCTAAGCAGCCTAACGCATTTCGTCCATCGAGAAGCAGCCACGAAGCCAGAATCCCGTCAAACCAGGCGACTCCCGACAACGCATCAGCCTCTTGCAGTCAAGGAGGACCGTGTCAACGCAACCAAGGCCACGTTCTTTTCGTTTTCTCCACGCGTGCGAATTTAATGTAAGGTAAGGTCAGCTATTTCAAGGTCGGTGCTAACTAAGTATTCTATTGCTCATTAACTTCATTGCATTCGCCATGGCCAACAACGACGACATAACCATGTTGAAGCGCCGGCGCGCGATAATTACTGGTTCCTGCACGCGAGTTCGAACTTTCGCAGATTCGATCGAATCCGTTACGTCGGCCATTGCGGCTCAACTTGAGGAACGTCGATCTAAATTAGACGGCTATTGGTCAAATTATGACGAGGTGCAAACGAAACTGGAATTGAGCGACGAAGCCGAAGCGAATCATCGCGTCACATTCGAGGAGGCCTTTTATTCTACATCCGCCCGATTGCGCGAATTGCTCTATCTCGTGAGTCCGTTGCGCAGCGCCGCCTCCCCTCCGCCGTCACCTTCAGTTTCCGACGTTGTCGATCGGCTCGGTCACATGAAATTGCCTAGATTAGATCTTCCGAAATTCTCCGGAAAATACGACGAGTAGTTTCCGTTTTTTGACACATTCCAGTCTCTTATACATGCAAACGCGTCATTAAACAATATCCAAAAACTGCAATATTTGAAGACTTCTCTCACCGGAGATGCGGCCAAGGTGATCGGCACGCTGAAGATCTCCGGCGTAAATTATGCGGTCGCGTGGAGCTTACTCAAGGATCGTTACGATAATAAGCGCGTCATCGTGCAGAACCACGTGAAGGCAATCATGGAATTGCCGTCCATGACTAAAGAAAACCTCGTCGAATTGCGTCAAATCGCGGACGGCGTCACATCCATGCCCTTCAGGCTTTAAAGCGCCCTACGGCGCATTGGGACGACTTATTGGTCCACATTTTGAGCGGCAAGCTCGACACGCTCACGTCCCGGGAATGGCGACTATCGCTGACGAGCTCCGAGTTGCCCACGCTGAAACAATTAATTGACTTCATCTCACACCGATGCCAAACTCTAGAGGCGAACGAAAAGCCAGGTACGCGAGTGCAATCACAGTCCGCCGCGAAGCGTCAGTCTTGCGTTGCAACAGTAAAGGCAAGGTGTGTTTTTTGCAAAGGCGAACACTTTATATATCATTGTCAAAAATTCCTAGCGTTACCGGTTTCACAAAGAATTTCCGAAATTCGCAAGCGCAAAATCTACATTAATTGTCTGCGATCCTCTGATCACACTTCAAGCGCATGCCCATCAGGCAGTTGTAAAACCTGCAATTCAAAGCACAATTCGTTACTTCACCTTATTGCCGTCAATTCAACGAAGTCCGACACCTCGGAGTCACACAACTCCGCCACAAATGAGAGGGAAGGGGCAATTCCGGCAATTTCTCCAACCACTCTCGTCGCAAACAGTGCAAACTCGCCCGCGCACAATTGCGTGATGCTGTCCACTGCTGTCGTCTCTGCATATGACTGCAAGGGCGCTCGCAAATCTTGCCGCGTACTTTTGGACTGCGGCTCGCAAGCCAACTTTATCTCACAGCGCTTTTTAGAAACGCTCGGTCTCAAAACGCGTGCTTCAGATATCTCTATTTCGGGAATAAACAAGACGGCTACGAGATCCTTTCGGACCGCCGAGTTGCGACTGCAGTCGCGCATAAACTCCTTCAATATGTCATTAGATTGCATCGTTACCGATCATGTAACTGACAAGCTTCCCGCCTTCACTTTGAAGAGAAGCACCTTCGAAATTCCGCAAAATATCGAATTAGCGGATCCGCAGTTTAACATCGCGTCGGAAATCGATGTGCTAATCGGCGCGGATCATTTCTGGAATTTACTGTGCGTCGGACAAATCAAATCATCGCCGGCTCACCCCACCCTTCATAAAACGCGTTTCGGCTGGATTCTGGCCGGACGATTTGACAAATTCCTCAAAATCTAAGCAAAACGTGCAGTCCTTCCACGCGTCAGTTTCCAACACACAATTACATGAACAACTATCACACTTTTGGTCAACCGAAGACGTAGCTGAGACCTCGAACAATTATAACAACGACGAGAACCGCTGCGAACAACATTTCTTGCAAAATTTATCTCGAGACGCGCAGGGCAGAATGATCGTAAAGCTTCCATTCAAGGAGCACGCCCCTAACTCCATGGGTAATTCTAGAGAAGTCGCTCTAAAACGGTTGTACGGTATTGAAAGAAGGTTGAATCGCGATCCCCATTTAAAAATTCAATATTCGGAATTCATGAATGAATACTTGGCCTTAGGCCACATGAAGTTGATTGACGAGCAATCCGACCACTGTTCGGAATCCTTTTATCTCCCACACCACTGTGTGTTCAAAGCCATTCAAGGTTCCAGCAAAATTCGAGTAGTCTTCGATGCTTCCGCGAAGAGTTCGACCGGTGTCTCTTTAAACGAAGCGCTCATGGTCGGACCGACTGTCCAACAAGACCTATTCTCAATTTTATTACGATTTCGTACGTTTCGCTTCGTTCTCACAGCCGACATCATCAAGATGTATCGACAAGTGATGGTGCATCCCTCACAAACGCGCTATCAGCGTATCCTTTGGCGGAACGACTCATCCTCTAATGTCCAAGCGTACGAGCTTGTCACCGTAACATACGGCACGTCCTCGGCGTCGTACTTAGCTACCAGATGCCTCAAGTGGCTGGCCGAACGTTACGCGAACGAACTTCCTAGTGGCTCCGTGTGCGTGGGACGAGTTTTACGTTGACGATATGCTCACAGGAGCCGACACCATCAAGGAGGCGCTAACAATTCGCAATGAAACAATCGAGGTGCTACGCGCAGGCGCTTTCGAGCTTGGCAAATGGACCTCCAATTGCCCGGACCTACTGGCTGGCATCGAGGAACAAAATAATAGCCCTGTCGCTATCAACAATGGCCTGGAATCATCCATATTAGGTATTCATTGGAATCAACTCCAGGACACACTTCATTTTTCTTATAGGCCCGATACTAATCATTCCACGGTCTCCAAACGGAGCATACTTTCCGAAGTTGCGAGACTTTTCGACCCTCTCGGACTGTTAGGACCTGTGATCGTTCTAGCCAAACTCATTCTGCAGGAACTCTGGCAGTTGGGATCTCATTGGCATGAATCGGTTCCACGGGAGCTTCACTCGCGTTGGTCGAGGCTCAAATCGCATTTAGTCGATGTTAATCAACTCTCCGTTCCGCGGTGCGTCAAACTCAACACTAGCCCTCAATCGTTGCAAATCCACGGCTTCTGCGACGCAAGCCAATTGGCATACGGGGCATGCGTCTATATCCGCACAAAATCCCGAGACGGTACCTACCACACCGAACTATTGTGCTCCAAATCTCGCGTCGCTCCCCTTAAGGCGATTTCCTTGCCACGTCTTGAGCTTTCGGCAGCTCTGCTGTTGGCTAAATTAATGAGCAAAATCAAAGCTGCATTCCAGACGGCCGCCATGCAGACGTTCTTGTGGTCGGACTCTACAATAGTCCTAAATTGGATAGACTCATCATCACGAAAGTGGTCAGTCTTCGTGGCCAACAGAGTAGGTCAGATTCAAACCGTAACCAAACCGAGTGATTGGCGTCACGTCAATTCCGGCAACAACCCGGCTGACATCTTGTCGCGCGGTCTCGACCCACGGGAATTAGCTAAGTCCTCGATTTGGTGGCACGGACCTACCTTTTTGGGGGTGGATGACGATTATTGGCCCGACTCTGGATTCACGCGCTCGCTTATCAATCTTCCCGAACAAAGAAAGTGTCTAACAGCCGTTGTGGTTTCTGATCATTCAATCGTAGACGAATTATTGAAGAGGCATTCAAGTCTCAACAAGGCATGTCGCATTCTCGCGTATTGTTTGAGATTTCGTAAATCTCAGCGCCCGGATAGGTTTACCATCCGCGTGTCGCATCAAGAAATTTCAACGGCATTACAGGTTATGTGCAAATCAACACAGAGTCAAGCCTTCCCCGAGGAGTACGAGGCCTTACGCAGCGGTCATGCTCTTAAGGCATCAAGCAACATATTATCACTATCTTCGTTTATTAGCAAAAACGGATTAATTCAAGTAGGAGGCAGATTGGTCAATTCAGATCTAAATTTCGACGCGTGCCATCCGGTATTATTGCCGCGGGATCACATTTTAACGCGTCGCATAATAGAGCATGAGCATCAGCGCAACGCGCATGCCGGAGCCCAGGCCACCATGGCGGCAGTAAGGCAGCGCTTTTGGCCAATTTCTTTGCGTTCAATCACCCGAAAAATAATAAGAAATTGCGTGACGTGCTTCAAAAGGAAACCCATCCAGTCAGAGGCCATCATGGGATCATTGCCCACGGGACGTGTAACCGTTTCAAGACCTTTCGCCCATTGCGGCATTGACTATGCAGGTCCGTTCATAATTCGCGAGTCCAAGTGACGCAACGCTCGTAATCATAAAGCGTACCTGGCGATCTTCGTGTGCTTCGCTACTAAAGGGGTGCACTGCGAGCTCGTCAGCGATCTCTCGTCAGATTCCTTTATAGGCGCACTCAAACGCTTCGTATCGCGCAGAGGGAAATCGTCTTGCATTTATTCGAATAACGGGACCACGTTCGTCGGAGCACAACGACAGCTTAAAGAGCTCTCCGAATTTCTGCGTAGCGAGGAAATACAATCCGACGTAAGTAACTTCCTACGCGATCAGGAAACTACGTGGAAATTTATCCCGCCCAACGCCCCTCACTTCGGCGGGCTTTGGAAGGCCGCTGTGAAATCGGCAACGCATCACCTCCACAGAATAGTTGGAAAATCCCCGTTGACCTTCGAGGAATTACAAACGATCTTTTGCGAAATAGAGGCGATCTTAAATTCACGCCCTCTTACTCCATTAAGTAATGACCCCAATGACTTAACTTATTTAAGTCCTGGCCATTTTTTGATAGGCACGACCTTGAATAGTTTTCCTTATCACGACCTGATTGATGTAAGCGAAAACAGATTAGTCCGTTGGCAACGAGTTGAACAAGCGAGGCAGCACTTCTGGCGCCGGTGGAGTCGAGAATACCTGCACACATTACAAGAGCGCTCCAAGTCGAGGACCAACAAGGGCGAACAACTGAAGCCTGGTCAAATGGTACTGCTCAAGCAACAAGGATTGGCGCCCATGCAATGGTTATTGGGTCGAATTGAAGAGGTTCATCCCGGATCGGACAAAATCGTGCGAACCGCAACCATTCGCACGGCTAGGGGCAACTGCACCAGACCATTATCCAAGGTCGCTGTTCTACCAATAGACACGTAACACAACACCCGACCATCTTAGAATTACGTTAGTTTATAAGTCTGCGTTTTGTTCTTTTTTATTAGCTTATCACTTCATTTAATTCTTACTCTCATCTAATTACGACATTCCGACAAATCGTTGTTCGGTAAGAAATATCTTACCTCATCATTTTTTTTTATTATTATCTATTTCATGTTTTTGCCTTTCTTGTGTTTGTTGTAATAGCATTTTAGAAAGCATGTCCTTTCAACGGGGGCGGCGTATGTTAAGTGCTGAATGTTCGAGCGTTGGCGCGCCATGCCATCTCGAGGACCCTGCGTTACCTCCGTTACCCTTCCGCGTCCCGCGACCACCTATTATCGGACTTCCCCGGAATTCCTGCAACCTCAGCTTGCTTAGAGCGCGCATGCGCGGCGGCGCGTAATACTAGACGCTTGTAATGGCCGATTCTAACGGTCTTTTCTCCTCTCGTGCTGCCGGGCAAGGTGTGACAAAATAAATTCCCTTTTGTGTTAAACTAATCAACGAGTTTTTATTTGGCGGTGACCAGCTATCCTGGTACGTTCCGGCAACTAACAACACACAGCGGCTCATCAAGAAAGAAACAGAGACAAAGAGAGATACATATCTCTCGGCCACGGTCCCGATAGAGAAATTCCGGGGACACCCGTGGAAGGCACAAGCTGCAGCGCCTCACAAGGCGCCCTAAATCGTACAATACTTCAATTATGAAAACAAAGTTACTAAAGTGAAATTTGGGATCAACTAATCCCGCGACTGTGCCTATTTTTTGAGAAACCGGGTGCTGTGACCAGAAATTCAAGTATCTACCTGAAAACGTCGACTTGTGGTACCAGTCGAATTCTATTGTCTCATTATCCCTAATCACTGTAACATCTAGAAAATTCAATCTATCACCCCCC